AAGAGAAGGACGACACCATTAAGGAACTGACAACTGCTGCTCATGTTTCCAATGTTACCTACTCTAAGGTTGTCTTTTAATGCAAAATTCTGCATTTTCTGTTTGTTAAACCTTTCTCTTACGTTGATTTTATTTCTTCTTAAATAGAGGATTACAGAACTGGAAGAAATTATAAGAAGAAAAAACATGATAATCACAAAGTTGAAAAAGGATATGCTGCTTTTAGAGCAACAGGTAAGACCCTCCATAAACTTCAAAAGTACAATGTTTTACTGAAACTTAGCGTCAGTGCAAACTTGTTGCAGATTGTCAAATTCACGAGGCTTCGAAGACCATCATATAGGGCCTCTTCACAGTCAACCACTTATCATCCACCGCTTATGACTGACAATATTCTCTATGATATGAGCAGCACTAGCCCATCATCTTCAGACTCTGATTCTCCTCAGAAGGGTGGTGTGAATCTTTCATGTATTCCAACTAATGAAATTCTTCATAAGCTTGATATAACAAAGCTTATGGGCTCTTCTGTCTCAACGCTACAGAAAGCAATGAGCCCTTTCAAGGAAAATTGTGTGAGCATGAAAGATGAAACAAATGCTTCGGTAAGACCAAGGAAGATTGCTTCTTCTATCACAGATCAGAAAAAGTATCGAAGGAGAAACTTGCAGGAAGAGAAGATGATGACTGCGGCAAAGAAATGGGTTTAGATATGCAGAGTCCTTCCAGTGAGCTTGTATTGTTTCAGATCTTAGCATATGCAGAGAACTTGCTAATTAATGTTACGCCTGTAAAACTTCAAGGCATATTTTATTTTATTTAGGTTAAAATCCTTTTCAATGAATCAATGAAGTTGATTTTTTTATAGTCAGTTGGTCATAATTATATTGCCCTTTCTCTGAAAATGAAATAAATTCTTCAGGAAAAGGGTCATTTCAAGCTGTAGTTTTAATTCAGCTGGGTGGTGTTTGATTTCATTCAAAATCGATGTGTCATAGTAGTAATTGTAAATGAAGCATATGAGATCACAGAAAAATTCTTGAATTTCTAAAAGTGGTCAAAATTGCTATCACAGATCGATTACT